TATATATATATATACCGGGTTCAATTCCAGCTCCGGCCTCCCTGTGTGGAGTTTGCATGTTTTCTACAGGTACTCCGGTTTCCTCCCACATTCCAAAGTTCGGGGTGTCCCCCACCTACTGCCTGAAAACAGCTGGGATAGGCTCCAGCACCCTTGTGAGGATGAAGCGGACCGGAAAATGGATGGATGGCTGGAAACATATATATATCTCACTGAAATACATTTCCAAATATTTAGCTTTCATGGCTCTATTCGTCAAAAAGGTTCCCGACCCCTGGTTTAGATCATCGGATGTTTGAGGTGGTGCTTCTAAAATGGCTTAATATTGAGCAGCTAGTATAACTCAGAGGTCTTTCTGTTGTTAGAAAAGTGTACACACAAGTGTGCACAGGAAAAATACACACCAAGCATGTGATCAGAGCTTCTGTACTCCATGTGACAAAACTCAGGCGCCGATCACTCGATTAATTTTACAAGTGGAGTGAGTAGGTGGGTGTGATGTGTTGAGGACAGGCACAAGTCCAAGGAGCAAGTCGAGAGTAAACAGATATTTTAAATTTAGAAATCAGGGCAAGGGATGCTTAGGTGAGAACATTATTTTTGTGGATATTGAAATATTTTTAGAAATGTAGTTCATCAGGCGCATCGACCTCACAGAACAGAAGTTGTGGGTTCAATCCCGGCTCAGGCCTTCCTGTGTGGATTTTGCATGTTCTCTCCGGGCCTGCGTGGGTTTCTCCAGTTTCCTCCCGCATTCCAAAAACATGCATGGCAGGCTGTTTGAACACTCTACATTGCCCCTAGGCGAGTATCAGTGTGAGCATGGATGGTTCATCTCTGTGTGCCCTGCGATTGGCAGGCAACCGGTTCAGGGTGTCCTCCGCCTACTGCCCGAAGACAGATGGGATAGGCTCCAGCAGCCCCCGCGGCCCTTGTAAGGATAAAGTGGATCGGAAAATGGATGGATGGATGTAGTTCATCGAGGAAAAAAAATACAACAACTCAAAATGCTCACACTCGTGTCTTAATATTTTGTTTGTCTGTTTGGGTTACTTTTCTCTTCATGAACTTTATTGTGCATGTTAAGGGCCCTATTTTTGTGCTGCGGGCAAGTCCAGTGCAAGCGCTCTCTAACTGTGCACATGGTTGGAGTTTTCTTTGTTTTGGTTTTTCGCTAGACTTTGCACGGGTTGAACCAGGGGTTTGCGCTATTGTGCGCCATTGTGGGATGGACGGAGTCTTTTTGCGGCCAATCCTTGCGCCATCCCTCATTGGCATCAAAATCAGGATGTTCCGAGCACAGTGCACAGAGCATTTAGGTTAAGAAATGTTCAGCAATTCTTCCAGTTCATTGTGACAATAAACAAATAGTGTTTGATTAGTATAGAATACAAGTAGTCTTTTCGACTCAATTTACAGGTTGGTTGGTGATGAAAAAATATCCGGGACTGGATGCCAAATTTAGATTCTGATGTTCAAATCTGGATTCTATGTAACACTTTTTGCTTTTGACTGGATTCTCTCACAAATGTCGCACCATAAAATATTGCTTTTTTCTTAGTGGGGGATGTGTGCGAGGCATGCAGGTGTGAATCTTACTTCTCCCTTTGCTATGATAAAGAACGTGTTCCCATCTTCACCTTCACGAATAATGTACTCTCCCTTTTCAAAATAGTCCTGCAAAAAAGAAACACATATTTGCCCTAACTGGATCATCTTTGGTTTACAGGAAAAAAATTCGGTGTGAAAATTAATTCAATTCAATCATTGGACAGACTCACAACTTCAAGACAGTCGACAATCTTGGCAAGCTTCTCTTCTGGCAGTTCTTGAAGCAGAGACACACTTGAAAAACAAACAAACAAACAAAACACAAATGAGAACTCGAACAACGTCAAAATTCAACTTTGATCTCACGAAATAGTTCGACTACAAACATCTTGGCAGAGGTGGGCATTCTGTCAGTCTGATGGAAGTTCCTTCAGTCCGTCACTGACCAACACCCGATTATCAGATGAGAGATAACTGACGCCAAACTTAAAAAAAAAAAGCTCTTTGTCACTGATGTCTGATGGAAACAAGCCCTGCCCTTCTCACGTGACGCGTGTTTGTTTGAGTGGGTCAAAACAGGAGGCATCTGGTTTGCTTGACTAGACCGCATTGACTCTATATCTACAGTAGCTGGTGGGATGCACCAAAAAGATGCTACAGCAGTGGTGCCCAATACGCCAATCACGAGCGACGGGTAGCTCGAGGACTGGTCCCAAGTCGATCGCGAGGGGTGTGGAGGAAAAAAACAAAAAAACCCCACCCCAAAACATTTGTGTGTTTGTGTGTGTATTTCTAATACAATGTATTTTTGTGTCAGTGCACACTGCATCCTTTGCAGCCTTTCAGTCTGTCACAAAAAGTATTTAAAAAACAAAAATAAAATAAAAAAGCAGGTGTTAAGATATGATTCCTCTCTGTTAGCTGGATTTGAAAGAAACAATGTAGAATGCTGTTGAAGGTGTTTCCTGCTTACTGTGATTACAATCACCTTTGGTACCCCCTCACCCCCACCACTTTTAGGACCCCTCCAGAGGACATGTCAACATCAAAAGAGGAACTGTTATCTCAAGTATCTGTGTTGCAGCTATTGAGGGACTGCGCTTTGCTATGAGTACTATTGATCTCAGTCTCTTTCCTGAACATTTGTTTGCACACTTAAAACAACGTATGTGGTGTTAAAGTTTATCTTCTTCCTCCTTGGTTGATTAATGGCCCCCCAAGTGTCTTCTGTTGTCCCCCCGCACCTTGGGTCGGTCCCTGATCGCTGTTAAGCCCCTCTGGGAAGACCTCTTATCTCAGGATGTATGCACAGCGGGGGTTCTGGAACTTGCCATCACACCAAATGGTGGGTAGTGGTGGTCTGGTCTCACCTCACCACTCCCAACTTCTTCCAGGCACACCGGGTCAGATGTCATGTTACTTTCTTTGTTTCCGGGATTTGCATGAGAGGCGTACCTAACCGCCTCTCATTATCATATTGTCTCTATATAATCTCATGAATGTGTTTCTTCTACGCTTCCTGTTTCAAATCTGGACCCCCTCAGGAGCCCAAATTGATTTGTAAACTGCAGAAATAAATTAAAAGCCTTCGAAGGAACTGTTCATCGCCTCCAGCCGTTATTTGGATTACCAACATTCTCCTCGTCCGAAAAAATACGAACACGCGGGGAAGAGGAGGCCGCTCTGACCCCAACACAGGTCACCTTTAACCTACGGTGGCGTTGTTAGCGGTCAGCAGTCTGCAATTGCAGCTTGTAATCAGAGCTGTTGCACTCTAGCTTTTATTATTATTATAATTATTATTATTATTATTATTGTCATTCAGAGTTTATTTCATGTACAATTTACCAAGGGCACTGGCAAAGAATGAGAATATGGAGTGCCAGGAGGAACATTTCAAAACCGTACACGTGAGCTCCGATAGTTAACACGCTGCCAAAGTGCGTCCCATGTCCCCAAAGGTAAGCAGTGATTTCCTTCTCACAAACTCACAAACTCTTGTGTCTATTATATATATATATATATATATATATATATAGTTACCAAGGGCACTGGCAAAGAATGAGAATATGGAGTGCCAGGAGGAACATTTCAAAACCGTACACGTGAGCTCCGATAGTTAACACGCTGCCAAAGTGCGTCCCATGTCCCCAAAGGTAAGCAGTGATTTCCTTCTCACAAACTCACAAACTCTTGTGTCTATTATATATATA